CTTTTGCACTGCAACACTGTATTGAGGAAATGGCGCATGCCTGACTTTGGCCCATTTTGGTGCATTGCTAATGCATCCAAATCAGTGGGCTACCTAAACACGTTAATGCAAGGCCCCAAGATAGACCAGTGTGAATTGGTCCTTAAGGAATAATTATTTGTTAAAGGAGTTCACTCTCCTTTAAATCACACCAACATACAAAAAATGCAAACACAGGGGAATGGCTCAGTTACAATGAGTAAGTAGCATGAAAAACAAAATCCTAGTTAGCACCTTTCCATATTAATTACCAAGAAGTTTGTGAAGGGTTTAAATACATCTATAGGGAAAGCCAAAAACTACTTCAGGTGGTACCCAAACCTGTCAACAAAGTACAGAATGTCATGTGCTGCAGCAGAAGCTGGTATATCTAGGTAGAGTAAACTGCATAATGTATGAAAACAGGTGTAGGTAAATTCAAAATGACCAATAGGGTCTGTGGCACAAAAATAAGTGCGCATTTATATTTTTCTGGTTCATAATAACCTGTAAGCATGGTTAACTTTTTCAGTTGCATAATTGCACAGACAATAAACACAAAAGTAAGACAATATAGACATTTTATTTTAGTAATAGACGGACTTTCTGTAACTGCAATTCTAGGCAACAAGTGAAACCCATCAGTGAACCACTATGCTTATCTAGCAAAACTGCAGTTGTGCAGTAAAGTTTGCCTTTGCAAAAGAAAAGTCGGCCCTGAATCAAAATTGTTGTTACCTAGAAGTATAAGTGTAAAACAAATAAGATGCAGAAATTATATAAGGTGAAGCCAATTTAAATTGTGTGGATTGTTAACAGGTTTGAGTCATATGATTATAACGTTTGTCCAGTATAGTGGAATGAGAGCAACATCATGTGGTTAGAGTAGTCTTTGCAATAAATAAGGTATTATATGCAAAAGAAACCAAACCCTTTAGACAATTTATAATCCACCAGTATGAATAGGCAATAATACATATGCAGGCTTTATTCACACTACTAAGAGCCGGCTCGTACAGGTCTGAGCGACGTGCGCGGTCGTATCTGGCCGTTCCTGGGAAGGACAGGTGCTGCGTGTGACTGTACGCAGCAGCCTGTTCTTCTCTATGGGAGTACGCAGCCGTACGCTCACCCCGAGCTGCACATGCGGATGGATCCTGTCTGCGTCCGAGCACGGACACCCGCACGGATGTGCAGCTCGGGTGAGCGTGCGGCCGCGTACTCCCATAGAGAAGAACAGGCTGCTGCGTACAAATCACACGCAGCACGTGTCCTTCCGGGAGCGGCCCGATACAGCCGTGCACACAGCACGGATCTGTACAGGCCGGCTTTTAGTAGTGTGAATGAGGCCATATACTTGTGATGTAATTGCTGCATTTAAAAGGCATACCTAGAGTTGGCATCCATTGCCATTTGCACAGGTGAATGCTTCTGGAGTTTGGGTAACTTGCCTTATCTTTGATAACACAGTAGCAGTTCCCAAATTACTTTACTACAGAGTACAGAGGGCAACAGAACTGATCTTGCAACCCAAATTACTCATGATGTACAGTCCATCATAATGTTTGCTTAACGATGAGGAAAGACAGAAACTGCATGCTAGCTAAACACACTATATCACTACTGTCACTATCTTAACATCATTATTCATTGTATCACAATAGAACAAGTACTGAGGTAGATTGAAACATAATATAGCTACAAAGCCATATACAGTATTTAGTTACATGGGGTACCTATATAAAGACAGGAGGAGTTGCTGTACCTTATTTACTGAAAAGCCTTTGTATTTTCAACCTGTCTTTCATTGGGAGTTCCCTGCATCAGATTCCCGCTGGTATACTTAGGGGTTTATTTATAAGCAATTTAGATTAGCCATTTTCCCTGCAAAATTGCATGTACATTGATTCTGTACAAATGGTGGCAAAAACAAATGTTATTAGTATATTTGTTTTCCAGGGCGAATGTAATAGCAGGAAAATACCTCATTATGGCCACTAGATGGAGGTAAGCAGCATAGAAAGTACATTCTTCTTTCCTACAGCCCTCAGCTCCATCTAGTGGCCATAATTAGGTATTTTCCTAATATTACATTTGCCCTGGAAAGAAAATATTAATTTCTGCCTCCATTTGCACAGAACGAATGTACATGCAATTTCGCAGGACAAATGACTCCCCAAATTGTTTTTGTATTATAGACAGGTTTTACGTGATAATTGCAAAATTTGTGTTGTCCCGTTCCACTACACGTCTCAGGACAATTAATGTCACTGACCACAAGTTAGTTAACATTATACTGTTGGAACAAGCATAATAAATGTTATTAAACTGCAGATGTCATTAACTCCTTCACTGCTGGAGATCAAAATACAGCATACAATCGATTTGGCGACATCTGATTTTGATAGAAAATGTATAGCTGTGTACACTGTAAATTTGTTGAAATATTAACAGCATGAAAAGGGAGCATGTTTAAAGTAACAATGTGAAATGTTGCTCAAGGTCTGATGCTGGTTACATCATATCAAAAGGCCTGTGTCGACCTGGCTGTTGTTCCCTTCAGTCACGTTTTGCATTTCCATACAAGTTTATAGGATTACAAAACCGCATAAAGCAGGTCAGATTGATATCATTAATAAATAGTGTATACCTAGAATGGTTCCCCTTTCATAAATGGCTTTATCATTCAAGTGTTTGCTGATCAGAGAATAAAAGTCTCCAGTAGGGAAGTTGTTAGAAGTAGAGGGGTAGTTAGGTTGCAGGCTGTGGGGCAGGAAGAAAAGTTGAGGCAAGGAAAACCCCCACAGCTGTATCAGTCTTTATGCAATGGACCCATTGGACAAGTATGGAATCAGACAACATAGAAACATCTAAATATGTAGTTTTAGGGTAGGTGAAGGTTGATCACAATTATTGTTAAGGAATGCTGTATTAACATGGTAAAAACCTAGAGTTGTAAGCCTTGAACTGGACTGGTTTATTTACAAGCCTGAATGGTTTAGGGGGACTTCCTTTCCAGCATTTTATTCTACACAACACAAACCATCAAGAGTGACTGACAGAGAATACATGCCCACAGCTTCAAGACTTCTCAGCAAAGCTGTGAAGACCATCCAGGAGGTCATCTGCCGTTCGGTCTTTTGACAAAACAGAAAGCAAGGGAGGCTTGGATCTTGACAATTACTGGGGTGTTCACTCAACACATCTTACAATGGGACCCAAATATCAAAATGCTCTTGTTTTGCAACTCCGACCTACATGTTTACAAAACAAAAACAATGTAAACGTACATAATGTGGGAACCCAGGAACCCATGCATTTTTTTTCTAGCCTTGGAGTGTTTAGAGCAGCAAACTCTTTGGTAATTGGTGATGGCAGCCAGGACCTCATCTACTTCACCAGGTTTTGCAAAGGACTTTTTAATTTGCTGTAATGTATCTGCTATATGCATATGCTGTATTACATCCTTCCAACCAAAGCAGATATTTCCATTTTACAATGATGCTGGTAGGTTGATTCACCCAAAATACTGTTTGGGTTCATGGATGGAGGCAGTGATATCCCTGTAGCTGAATCTCTAGGTCCGATTACATGCTGTGCCCATTACAAGAGGACTCTACTGCTTAGATTTTGTATTTAGTTTATATTATAAAGAATTTGGCAGAATGATTTATATTCTTTGGTTGCTTGGGCATAGCAGGGATATCTCACTTCTTAATTTCCTAGTGAATATAAGAATATCATCTAAGATATGATACAACCCAATAATGAATATCTGTTTTGGTTGGAACGACCAATTGCCGCAGTCACCCAAAAAGGTAATTTAAGTGTAAAATAAAATGTTAGGAGAGGAACCCTTCAATGATCTATTTCCCATCGCAGTGTGAGTTATTTTAACATATCACTCCATAGACTGTGAACAGAAGACATACATGAATAAGAAATAAGTGAAGAGATATTTGAAAAAGGAAGCACAGACGTCAATCTGACCTCATAATGTCTAGGAGAAATTTGTTTAATCTTCATCTTAGCAGGATCCCTTTTCCTGAATGAGACTGGGCTTTGTTAATTAATTAATTTAAAATGAATGTTTTATAGCAGTTCACAAGCTGACCTAGAATCACACAGAAAATACTATATATGGGATCACAAGAATGATGATATGAGTCAGGCTGACGTCTCTGAAGGTGCAAGACAAACATTCACTCTGTGAAAATGATGGTTGCACAAAAGGGATAGGTATAAGAAGAATAAATGTCAACATATTAACCTGAAAAGCAAACACTGGCATTTTGTAAGCATATAGCATTTTAACAAGTCAGTGAATTAAGAACAAAAACATTTCTGCTTAAAGGGAACCTGTCAGACATTTTAAATAGGATACCTGCCAAATAACAGGTACCACAAGCCAACTGCTATCACCATTGTTAGCAAAAAAACTATTCTCTGTGCACATTTTGAAGCTATATTCACTTTGTTAATATGTACCTGACTTCTACACCAACTGCCTCCCATTAGGGTACTCTTACTGTAGAGGAGAATGGCAGCTGAATATAAAGCAGATGCAGTCACTGTTCTTCTTTTGAAAACTTTTCGACCCAATCTTTTTGCCAAAAGTCAATTCAGTAACTGGCTGTTGTTGAGCTGGCAGGGCCACACATCCAATTCCTGTGAATCGACCAAAACTCTAACAGTGTGTGGCCAGCCTTAGTCTTTGTAGTAAATCTATTTTAGAGGGACCCACAGAAGCAGGCTTTCAGGATAAAAAAAATATGAGCATATAAGTGGTCTCCTCTAGGGCAACACTTTTTACTATTAAGCCACTTAAATGGCTGACAGGTTGGCTTTGATAACAGCTACCTAATTTAACTTCATGTGCTTCATGACCCCTATGTTCCATGCTGCTGTGCTCTGATATTTTGCACCGTGAATTTCCAGATGCAGCATTGTGATAATGGAACATGGGTTACAGAGACTCTTACCGGCTCCCCTCTCTCTCCAGGTTCCCCTTTATGTCCAGAAGGACCCTATGGAAAATGTAAAAATGGAGACATGCTCAGATGTATTAGAAGGATACATGTAGGAAATTGCTTTGAATATTATAATAAAACAAGCAAACAATCCACAGTCACACAATAAAAAAAAAATCACTATTCTAGATATGTGCTTCCCAGCTATTTCTTAAACATTATTATCTATTAGCAGGCAATAATGAAGAGCACAAAGCACCTCAGCAGGAAAAAAACTCAAAAATCAAATAAAGTCACAGAAAAACCATAAGAGGACCCATTACAGTTGGACTTTTACAGGAATCTGAATATTAACTTTCATTATTATAACTATGCAGTCTTACTTATAAAGGATTTTTACCTTTACTTGCCATGTTTAAGCCTGCCATTTTAACTGGAGTGTCAGGGACAGTTGCCTGCTGAGCTCACATACTGCGAACTGAGAAGACGGTAGGCTGTTGACAGGCAGCTACAATCAGACTTCAGGAACATTTTTACACTATGGAGGCGCTCTCTTTTGTTCCTTTTCTCATAGACTTCGGGTGACTTCTGACCTTCTGGTTGCTTCAAGAATAGCAGGTTCCATATTTCTATCCGAACAGTTTCCTTGCAAACGTTCATTGCTGTATTGTGTTTAATTAACAAGTCTGATACTTTTAAATAGGGGGCACAGCATTTTGTAGCAGGTGTCATGTTGGGAGTGTCCCATGCTACACACATGTCCTCAATGAATAAAGGCACTTTTAGACAAAGTGCACTTATTCTTTTTGCCCCCCTCCCCTGACATAAATGATCCCACCTTGACTACGCAGCTCTATACTTACTGAGATCTGAGGGGCACTACTCCGCTGTTTGTTGACATCCATCGCTGCAAGTCTTCCTCTCCTTGCTGGAAGACAGCCCGATAGATAGAAGTCTGTGGGCCTGTATTCTGCAGGTGTGGCTAGTAGAGGGAGCATTGCAGTTCTGGATGTAAACAATATCAGAACTGTGCACATCAGATCTCAGTAAATACGGATCTGTGGAGGGGCAGTGTGGGTTCATTTAAGTCAGGGTGGGGAACAAAAAGCACAAATGCACTTATCTTTTACATAGTGATTATGTAATTATACAGTGTGTAAAAATGTAGATTATTTCACATGTATAAAACTAAGTACACATGATTCCACATATGTTTAAAAAAACTGCAAACATTTCTTACATTTGCTTATCTATTTCTCTCATGTCATATGAGATTTGTCTGATAGAAATGTTTAGTCCATATGCAAATTTAGTCCAAACATTTAGTCCAAATGTTTAGTTAGTAAATATGCAGCAAAGGTACTAAGCATAAATGGCATGGTAAGATAGGATTCTTTAATATTTACCAATTCCCCTTTTGTCCCAGGCTCTCCTGGCTGACCAGTTGGACCCTGCAGGCAAGACAGAACTGTTAATTTTACATATATCTATCTAACTTCTCAATCTGTTTTATTTCTCTACTTACAGTATCTCCTTTCTCTCCCCTGAAGCCATCCCTTCCTGGAGGGCCAGGTAACCCCTACAGAGCAACAAAATAGACCAAGAATGGACCAAAGTATCCAGTAAATTTTAAGTTTATACAATGCAAACAAACAACACAAAGCATTTGTGTTTAATAACAGAGCTATTGTTATTAATGGCATGCAAATGTGGATTGGATATGTAAATATTGTTATTGTTTTGACTTGTACTTAGGTATGCAAAAGTATAGCTTTTACTATTTATTGGCAACCGATTCTATTTTTCCTAAAGAGAAATCCATCAAGAGAAAAAGATCCACTTCAAGGCTGAACTCCATACAGTTACCAATTAATGTATACTCTGTACTTTATTTAAAAAAAAACCAATACATCTGACTCAGAATCTTATAATCACCTGCAAAGCACATATAGAGGAGGCCCTAGTAGCCACTCAGACTCTGCTACAGTGCACATGTGCTGAGAAGGCATATGTTGACTGCAGGGAAAGATCAGAAAGATGACCTCATGAGTGTGCTTCTCTTCCTTCACTGTTTAATCACAGCCTGGACCTTGCTGTACTGCTTCACTGCAGTAGAAAAAATTACCAGCCTGGTTATGTCCAGTTTGCATGTGTAAATTTCAGGACTAACTGGGCAGAAAAAGAAAGCTCTTGGCAGGTAAAACAGCTTACTCATATGCATTCAAACTGTGTATTTAGCCGTAGTTTGCCTGGAGGACAGATTATTTGTATAAAAGAGAAGTCCATACAGAATTTGTTGCACAGAAATCCCAATGTACACTCAACATACGTTTTGGCCCATCACTCCAGGTGGCCCAGTTTTTCCCTGTGGTCCTGGTGGCCCTATTGACAAAAAAGGCATGATAACATCATTAACCATCCTGCCAAAAAACAAACAAAAGAAAACACATACTGTAGGCAGCAGTTACCTGCTGGACCTGGGGGACCTCTGGGTCCCTGAACATTGTATCCCCCACTTTCAGAAAAACGGTTTGAATTGAAAAGATCTGCAAAAAATGTAAGAAAAATAAGTTGCTCTTAAAATATGTTTAGTTTAGGAAACATTTTAGATTAGTCACATTATGTCAGTTAAAACAATAATACTCTGAAACAGCATGTGAACAGTAACTGTGATGAACCTTTCCTCTTTTTCTCACTTTTCTGTAACAAATTGTTTGCTCTCCCAGATTAAAGTGACACGAAACTCAAGAGGTAAAACTTAAAAATACATTCAAGTTCTTTAATAACAAAAATGTATTTTATTTGTGTATCCCTCGGCTGTAGATCTTTAAATCATCTCTGATTGGTGCTGACACTGTCCTTCCTTCTGGAGGGTGGCTACTTTTCTTCCCCATGGTCCCTGTGTGTGTTGTAAAGTAGTCACCGCTCCAAGATCACTCCTGTGATAGACTACAATCTCAATAGAAATTAGTTAACTAAATGTGAGATTGTAGGCCAATCCATTCTCCAACAGAATTTGAGGTGAGTGTACTCACTGGCTCTCCAAAAGAGTTTGAGGTCGGTGTACTCACTGACTGTCTAACAGAGTTTGAGGTGGGTGTACTCACTGACTCTCCAACAGAGTTTGAGGTGGGTGTATTCACTGGCTCTCCAACAGAGTTTGAGGTGGGTGTAGTCACTGGCTCTCCAACAGAGTTTGAGGTGGGTGTACTCACTGGGTCTCCAACAGAATCTGAGGTGGGTGAACTCACTCATTCTCCAACAGAGTTTGAGGTGGGTGTACTCACTGGGTCTCCAACCGAGTTTGAGGTGGGTGTATTTATTGGCTCTCCAACAGAGTCTGAGGTGGGTGTACTCACTGACTGTCTAACAGAGTTTGCGGTGGGTGTACTCACTGACTCTCCAACAGAGTCTGAGGTGAGTGTACTCCCTGGCTCTCCAACAGAGTTTGAGGTGGGTGTACTCACTGACTCTCCAACAGAGTTTGAGGTGAGTGTACTCACTGACTTTCTAACAGAGTTTGAGGTGGGTGTACTCACTGACTCTCCAACAGAGTTTGAGGTGAGTGTACTAACTGACTTTCTAACAGAGTTTGAGGTGGGTGTACTCACTGACTGTCTAACAGAGTTTGAGGTGGGTGTACTCACTGACTGTCTAACAGAGTTTGAGGTGAGTGCACTCACTGACTCTTCTACAGAGTTTGAGCTGGGTGTACTCACTGACTCTCCAGCAGAGTCTGAGTTGGGTGCACTCACTGACTCTCCAGCAGAGTCTGAGTTGGGTGCACTCACTGACTCTTCTACAGAGTTTGAGGTGGGTGTACTCACTGGCTTTCTATTGAGTTTGAGGTGTGAGAGTACACTCAGTATAGGAAGTTAACAGGAATAACACATGTACAAAAATCTTGCCCAACAGCAGAGGGTGGAAGGTCACAGACACACAACACAAAACACACTGGTTAATGAGGCTAGTAACGACACATAGCTGATAGAGACAACCTAAGGCTGTTGTTGCCAGGGGGTGACCATCCAACCCTAGGTAATGTTGCCTTGCTGTTAGCAACCTCAACTGCAAGATTAGAGACTGGTGCGTAGCTCTTCAGAGACTTCAAAAGATTAACTGACATCAATCAAACTTGCATTAATTATTAACTACCAACTGACCCCCAAATATTTACTGACCCTCTTTTGACCCCAAGCCATTTTATCAACCACTTGAATAGTCCTATCAACCCTTGGGGTCAAAAACTACCGCTTTGGGGAACCCTGTGTTGATGGAATTACAAAAGTAATTTTCAATCTTTTTAAATCTGCAGATTTCTTTAAAATAATGCCTGGCGATCCTGCCATGAAGGGTCTTGTTTAGGCACTTGCTGCTATATGGCGACGACACCCTGTCACGGTCTCCTTTCATTGCCACCCTGTCACATGGACTACCAATGGAGACTACAAGTGGCTATAGTTTCTATTGGTAGGTGGCTTTCAACACACATTACACAAGCAGCGCCTACTGTTGTCACCACAGGAAGCATGTCTTGAAAAATACCATGCAGCTCAGCTGACACATGCATTCATGTAGACAGGAAGTGGCTTCATAAAGGCTGCAGGGGATCACCCCGTCACTGAGATGCAACAAAGGATTATACTTTCATTGATTAAGCCTAATACTTACCCTGATCTACAAGTCTCTGATATCCTGGAGCAGGGGGACCCGATGGCCCAGGAGGACCTCTCTCTCCAGGGGCACCTGCAGCACCATCCTTTCCAGGAGGACCAGGAGCACCAGGAGGACCTAAATATATGATAGGTATTAATATAACTGTAAACTGAGTTAGACAAATAAAGCAAGGAACATGCATCAGTGGCATTACATATACACTGTGTGAACTAGCACTTTGTCTGACACCTGCAAAATAATTTCAGTGTCATAGAAAAGTATAGCTACACATTGTAGTTTTATACTAACTTTAGGGCACCAATTTGACTTAAAGAGGACTTTTCATATATTATGCAAATCTGCATGAATAAACTCCTAACATATCACAATATACAACAATGGTAAAATGTTTTCAAATCTGCTGCACCTGAAATCATTAACAAGCAGTCCTCAAATTCCAACCAAGTGACTTTGCATAGGATGAGATGACGTAATCAGTCTCTTCCCTCTGCTGCTAACCTCTAGAGAATCACGAGATGAGAGGCTGCAGCAGTGGCTGTTCACACTGCATTATCTCAACATGACAGTCTAGAAAGTAGACACTAACCCTGGATGATGCATGAACAAAAACATTGCTGTCTTTCTGGAGAGAAAGCAGATAAAGGAATTGGCATTGATTTGCTAAAGAAGTAGAGGCTGTTCAAATTAAAAGCTCACTTTGCAAAGTGAATGTTAGTAAATAAGGTGTGTTTGTTTTTAGTACACAATTAAATGCTAGCAAATACCCTGTTTTTTTAATCTCCCTGGCACATAAGTAGACATTAGCAGGGAACACAAGTTTAACTTATTTAATAAATATTCACTTTACAAAGTGAACATAGACTTTGAAACATGAACATTAATTTGCTAGAGGAACAGCCTGTGTTTCTTTAGTAGATAAACCCTATTGCCTGGGAAGTACTGTGTTCTCGGAGAGATAACAAATACCTCTAAGTGTTACAAGTACACATACACATTACATAGCATGCATATACTTAGATATATCTGATGGTAGGTTGGCTTTAACGGGCCTGGCCCACATTAGATGTAAGCTTCTTGGGAGCATGCCAAACATAAAGCAACTTTCTTCTAGCTCAAGCTGCCTAATTCTTTCAGCCATCCTGCCATTTTAGCATGTAGTCTTGCACACAAGTGGCTAGTAACAACACATAACTGATAGAGACTGGTGACCCTCTGATCCTAGAGAGCCCCTGGCCATGGGGAAAATTGGGGAGAAAACCTTGAGGGATCCTGCTCCTTGCCTAGCAAAGTTTGCCAGCTCTGCAGTCCAAGATGGCAACGACGACGCAGATACAGACTAGTGAAATATAAATGTCTTTAATCCAATGCCCTCCTTACCTACGTGGACAGCAAAACCTCAGAGTGAAAGCTTGGTAACTGGAAGTACGCCACACAAAGCTACAACAGCTCTAACAGAGTAGGATAACGATTCAGAACCCTTTAATCGCAAATAATGAATGCCATGCACCAGTGTCAAGCCTCCCACACACACCATAGATAGAAACTCTAAGGGAGTTATTCACAAAGCAGCTAGGAGAATAACCCAGCCAAAGCGAACTGAGCCAAACGACGTTCGGCTATTCAATCCGGCTCAGTACGGCTGATTTCAGCTGTACATCGGCTGAAATCAGCTGTACATTGGCTGCCTTTGGTCAGCCGAACATGCTCTGCATGTTCAGCTGAGCCTAAGTGCGGAAGGACAGCTCACTTGCTACCGTTCCCCCCTATTCTCATAGCGGCCGAACGGTAGTAAGTGAATAGCTGAATGCCGGCTCGGCTATTCTGCTCGGTGCCTGAAAGAAAAGAAAGGGAAAAAAATTTGTTGGAAAAATACGTAAAGAATGGAAATAGTCAAATAAAAAAAAGATATTTTAAAGAAAAGAAAAAAAAATTGGGCGCAGCTAACTGTGACAGCTATGACAGGTCATTTGGGGATGCTGATCTGTCATTACAACTGGGCGGAGCCAGCCGTGACATCACAGCTGGCTCTGCCCAGCTGTCATTTGCGGCTGGAACTGCCGGCTTTCGGCAGGCCATTCGTCACTTCGGCTCAGTCTGCCACCTTCGGGTGCTGTACGGGCTACTATGAATAGCGCGTACAGCAGCCCTTGGGTTCGATTGAACCGAAGGGCTCTGGCAGCCGAAGAGCGCCGAAGGATCAGCCGAAGCAACGGCTGGATCCCTCGGCTCTTTAATGAATAACCCTCTAAGAAATTATCTCTCCATTTTAAAACAAGGTATGTAAACTAGAAGACAAAGGGTCACTGACACAGAACAGAGAATCAGTGATCTTGAGGACACTGTTACCCCTATGCACAATTAAGTGAGAGAGGTAAAGGAAGGCCTATCTGGAAATATATCCAAACTTAGTGATTTGAAGATAATGGGGATAAAGGATAATGTTTGCCTTGAAAGCGGGAATTCTCCAGTTTGTTTTCTACAGAACATGCACATTGGATTCCCATGAGACCTCTCCCAAGGCCTCTTATCGCCCGCATCCTTCCCTTCAGCAATAAAGAAAAGATACTGAGACTAGCCAAATTGTCTAAAGAACTACTGTACAATGGAAATGTAATTGCCATATATCTAGATCTGCTACCATGCAAAAATGTTAAAAAGTGACACCAGGATCTTAATATCTCATACAGCATGATTCATCTAGCTAAACTGCAGGTGGTGGATAGGGGGAAGGCACTATTCTTCAATTTCCCAGTAAAGGTCTCCCAGTGGCTTGCTACTAAAGTACATTCTGAAGGACGCAAATCAACAACTTCTAATTAGCTGTCACAGTGGCTTTCTGCTCACAAATGTGCAAAGCAAGTACTGACTCTACTTATACCACTGCCCTTGAGACCTACAGTATATAACATAGTTATGCTTTGGATACCTTTTGGAATATATCAGAAATGTTACTTTTGGTAACCAGATAAAACTCCTATAGCAGAATCAAAAGATTTTTCAGTTTTGCAATAAAAACACACATACACTGGCATATCTAGCTAGGCTTCATCATATGTCCACATGAATATCCCAATTAGGGATGTTCAGATACCAAGTACAGTACTCTGTACAAGTACAGATACTTTTCCAGCTCCAGTACTAGACTAGAGAAAAATTAAAACGTTAGGAGGCAGCTGTCATTTGTAAGGAGCACACAGAGCTCCTGGGATTCATACATCCCCATTTTAATGCATGCTTTTTTAAATATATATAAGTGATGCACCGATACAATTTTTCCAAGTAAAAGTATCGATACTTGTCCAAGTACTTTCAGATACAAGTACTGGTACATTTTTGTTTATTGTCATGTGACAGTTTTTATAAATCAATAAAGACTAATGATTTCAGGACAGTGGTGGAGTGCCAGAGCCAGGTCCCAGCTACAAACGCTGCAACCCTGGTAGTTTTCGTGAAAATGCCAAGTATCTGCACTGGTATCTGGACATCCCTAATCCCAATTATATGACGGTATTAAACTAGGTTGCATTGTCCATGGTAGAGATTAAGACATTTTTTTTGTTATCTGTCTCAAAGATGAGCCAAATAACAGCAACAGCTTCTGTTACCATGCATCTTGGAGATATAATGTTTTTTGTTTTTTTTTTCAAAATACGCCTAAGTCCTGATCCCAGGCCAACATATACGGCTGTTTAGGGGGAGAATCGAGCAATATGGAGTACAACATGGAGATAGCTCCTCTCTGATTGTTGGCTTGGATATACCAACGCTCGTATGGGCTGGGGCTTCCACGGGAGTCCCCCCGTGAGAGTATAGTGTTTAAAAAATGCGTAATCTGATTGGAGATATAATGTTAAGAAACATGGCAATCATGTTCACACAAATCTATTGTAGTTACATTCCGAATAACAATATTTTTGAATGTTTCTAAAACTGAAGGCTTAAACATGAAATTTAATGATACTATAATTACTCCATCAGTCTTCATCAGTAACAGTATTTTTTCTAGTACAAACAAAACAACTAAGCCTTTGTAAAAGACTTTTCAAGCAAAACACAGAAGGGGGCAGTCTTGTTGCAAGAAAAAACACCTAGCGATCCAAAAATAAACCTTTAGAATACTGGTTACAATTCTAGTTAAAGACAAATGTTTCCATATTTTCCATTTCTGAATAATATAAGCCTAAGATGTGAAGTTCAACTCCAGCCAGTACACTTATACTTGGGTCTTGGCTAGAATGTATAAGGGTTACAACCCTCTTCATTTTGTACTGTGATTTTGCTGGGATATTTTCACATTGTAAGATTTGAACAAACAGGAAATAATCCTTTTTTGCTAAAGAGACATTGTATATCTTCTTAATGGAGTACAAGAGCAGTAATCTCAATGCACCTTGACGGCCGGTTAACACCACGAAGTCTGCGATCCAGAGCGTTTGGCCTCTGGAACGCAAGCCGGCTGGCTCCCTGCGTTCCCGGGGCGGGGGGGGCGTGACGGTGCATTGAAGTCAATGACACCGCAGCCACGCCCCCCACCTGCAGTGCGATAGCCGCACCTGGAACGCAGACACATTGGTGCCTGCGTTCCGGTCCAGTGCGATCTGAAAAATAGTGTTTGCAGCATTTTTGCAGATTGCACTGGACTGGAACGCAGGCACTAATGTGCCTGCGTTCCGTGTGCGGGCAATCGCACTGCAGGCCTGGGGGCGTGGCTGCGGTGCAATTGAATTCAATGCACTGCCACGCCGTCCCTGAACGCAGGGAGCTGGCCGGTTTGCGTTCCAGTGCGTTCCAGGGGCTGAATGCTCTGGAACGCAGACTTTGTGGTGTGATCCGACCCTGAAAGTGCTGAAAGTTCGTAGCTCTGTACTGACTGGTACTGGTCTAAGCATTGCACCCATAATTCACTGATCACGGTTGCAATGCTTTACAGGCTGCAGGGCAAAACAAAAAAATGCACATTTCTTCCTTTATAAATGTGTATGAAATTGTAGTGCTCACCCCCGAAGGAGCCGCTGAATGCCCAGTTCATCTCTAGTCTGTCTAGGGTATGTTCTTCAGCTGCCCACCCATTGGCATTAACCGCCTTTCTTCTGGTGACCACAAACTGACGTCCACTCCCGTAGTAAAATGCTGAATAACGTTTTATTGAACATCTTCACTGAGGGGAGAGGGTATAGGAGTTCTAGGTGTCCAGGGGTAACTGACAAGAGCTCCAGACTCACCAGACCTGGTTGGCATATCAGAGTAGATCCACTTGGGAGGCAGCGGATAGCAACTGATGTAGCAGATATGCAGGATGGATACAGATCCTCAAACAGGAAAGACACCGACCATATTCCTGAAGTCCTCTTAGTTCCAGGGTACTTCAAGAGCCAGCATTGGTCCCGGTTCTCTTCCTCTAACCGCAACACAGGCCTCCTCCATGTTGAAGGCCTCAGGGATACCTTTCCCTTACACCAGCCCATGCCCACCCCCAGGCCTCAGGCCTAGACTGGGGGGCAGGCTGAACAGCACCCAGCCCTATTCCATGGCTGGTCCCGGCTAGTCTGAGCACATAGCAAACCCAGTGATTGCCTGCTGTACTATACATACACTACAGTATCTATCATTGGCTGTCCCACAATATGACAGAGTCACACTCCGCCCAGGAGGGTACAGGCAATGCCAGATAACTGCCACTATAATCCAGCCAGGCTGGCTACAGCCCTGGCTACCACTAAATGTCTAGTGGCCACATCACAGAAGGTGAGGGGGGCTACACAATTATTTTATTTTTTCGTAAAAGAGAGGACTGTGGTGTCTTAACTCGGTTCACACGTGAGCGTATTTTTTCAGCTCATTTTTTAGCTCGCTTTTTTCGCGTTGTTTAGCACGTTTTTCCGTTCAGTGAAACGTGAGTTTCACTGGCTGTATGATTTTTTTCCCCCCTTATTTTCTCTATTTAAAAAAAAAAAATTAAAAAAATGTTCACTTTCAAACTTCCCGCCGGCTCCGCCCCCCAGCGACGCGGCCGCTCGCAAGGGACGGAACCCGGAAGTCGGCAGCCGCCGGAGGACACAGCGGGGATGGCGGACAAGGTAAGACCTGTACGCTGTATTCCCGAGTGTGGCTTGGGGTTACCGCTTTGTTAACCCCGATCCACACTCGGGAATACCAATGGAAACGCGTTGAAAAACGTCCCAAAGAAGTTCCTGTACTTCTTTGGGTGTAGGGCGTTTTTAAGCGCGTTCCTGCGGGCTGTAAAACGCCCAGGTGGGAACCGTGCCCATAGGCAATTATTGGTTTTCACATGTTGAGCGTTTTACAGCGCATAGGAATGCGCTGTAAAATGCCCAGGTGTGAACCAGGCCTAAATCAAAAACACTGTTGTCCTACCTGGTGGTCCTGCCAGGCCTTTCATTACTAGTGATCCTTGGCTCCCTGGAGTACCTATTGGCCCTACTGTGCCTTTTCTTGTGCTTATGCCTGAAAGAAAGACTAGTGAGTACCTAGTAAAAAGTAACTAAATTGATCTTGTTCTGTAGAATTTGTTTTAATGAGCATGCATTTTGCTCTCCATTGTTTGTTTTACATTAGTTGTAGGGATGCACCGATACCATGTACAGTACTCGGTACAAGTACAAGTACATGTACCGATACTTTTCGAGCTCCAAGACTAGACTAGAGAAAAATCCAAAAGTTAGGAGGCAGCTGTCATTTGTAAGGAGCACACGGAGCTCCTGGGATTTGTACATCTCTGTTTTAATGTACGATTATGTTTTTATAAATATAAATAAAGGGATGCACAGATACCAGTTTTGTGAGTACGAGTACTGGTACTTGCCGAGTACTTACAAGTATGAGTACTGATACATTTTTGTTTATTGTCATGTGACAGTTTTTCTAAAACAATACAGACTAATGATTTCAGGACAGTGGTGGAGCGCCAGAGCCTGGTCCCAGCTACAACCGCTGCAACCCCGGTAGTTCTCATGAAAATGCCAAGTATCTGCACTGGTACTCGAAAAGTATCAGTGCATCCCTAATTAGTTTGATTCACAGCAACAGGTTTACACTTATATAACCTGGTTTTACTAATAATATGACCTACAGTATATTCAATGCAGTTCGGTGGAAATCCACTTCCACACCTTCAGTAAAGGAGTGGTTCCAGAAAATTGCTTGTATAGCCGAAATGGAAGAATTGATCCATGAAGCCCATGACAGGCTCTCCCAATACAACTTTACATGAGCTTGCTGATTCCACTTTCAGACAACGCCTGCTTATGTTCAATTAATGGACGCCTGAACTGGGACAACTTTTTGGAGGTTGCCGGGTGCTGTTTTAACTTTGAGTGGTATGCCTGGTATTAGTCTATTCCCTGTGCTCATGCTCTCTGTCTTTCTTTCTCCTCTTCCTTCCACCTCCACAACCACCTCCCTTGGGGTTTTCTTTTCTCTTTCTTTCTCCTCCTTTCGTTCCTTCTTGATCCATTAACCCTTCCCTTTTCCTGGAGTATGTTTAGATATCCCTGCTGCTTTTTGATCTTCTTAAGTGTAGCTCTTGTTATGAGCATTGGATCTGCAGGACCTATCTGTGTTTCTTTTTATTGGCACTGTCCATACTTTCCCATATGTGTTAAGGTGCCCACACACCTTGCAATTTATCTGCAGATTTTCTGTGGTCAGATGGAAAAAGTGCAACAGATTGGCCCAGGTGGAGATTACTCCATCCACACAGTTAAGTGTAGATGGAGGAATCTGTTGCACCTTTTCCATCTGACCACAGAAAATCTGCAGATAAATTGTAAGGTGTATGGGCAGCTTAACCCTGCTATGGTGCTGATATGTCATATTAATGTTACCTTCCTTTTACACTTTTAGTATGATTGTGCTGTTTTTACATATTTTACATTGTGCTTAACATTCTTATTATTTCGTGTATCTGTTTACTACACATGTTCTTTGTTATGTTTCAATAGAAATTTTTTGTTGGAAAAAAAATAATATGACCTATATAACTTGTTTACATTTGTCTGTATTCTAACTGCATTTTACAAATTACTGTGAAAGATCCCATTTGTTTGCTTTAAATGGTAAAACAAAAACATAACATGCAGGATCTTTCTTTCCAACACTGGTAAATATAATCATTTTAAAATGATGAACTTTGACCTGTATGTTCTGGTTGGCTTTCAATGTACAATCTAGTAAGTGTATAAACTGGATGTGTATTAACTGGATGACATAAGCAAAGCACATTTACATTCTGTGATTCATTTTTATTTCATGGGTAAATGAAGCAGAAAAAAATAAGCTGGGGGTAGTCACAAGCCTTTCTGTAACTCAAGCCTTTCTGTAACTCAAGCAACTCACACCGCTCTATTTTTTCTGTGCATGCTTTTGATTAGGTGGCTGTGCTGTTCAATGATAATTCTGTATATAAAGCAGGTATCATGCTGCCTCCAAATATGTGCTGGGGTTTTAACTTTCACAAAAATAATTATGCGATCACGTTGATGACAAGGTGTTGAGGCGTGTATAAAATGGTGCCATCATTCATGTGTGCCTAGAGCAGTATGGACTTTAATATGACGCTACCAGTCACTATGTTTCTCACCTTCCTGAGCTATGAAGGAATCTCTGGATGGTGGTGTCATAGATCCTGCAAGATGAAGATATTTAACAAAGATTACTGCAGTGGAGAGGAAGATAGTGTCAACTCCAATTGTTATCAAGCAGGGCAAACAAATCATACCACTGCAGTGTGGGTCACACGGACATGTGCAAGAGGTGAACATATGGGATTTACTGCCACTGCGCCGACCACACAGGACGGAGATCCACATTTCCTGTGACCTATTCCTTCCTTTCTCACATGTGTGCAATGTCCTGTGACACATCTTAATCTATTAGGTCACCACATGCAAGAAAATTTAATATGCATAGAGTAAATAAAGTAACCACTGCATACAGAAATATGAGACCAACACACATGTGCCTGTCCATTATTACACATTTGGCCAGCATTAGATTTGCACACATCAATTTAGAATTTTCCTTTTTTCAATGTATTTTTTGTATAGTTTGCTACATGTGTGTTTGCTGGTTTATTTCCATTTTTTCTTCTCAATTTTTATTTAAACAACTATCATGATTACAAAGTTTCTCATTTGATATTTTTGTTTTGTTTTGCACGTTGTAGACTGTATATGAAAAAAAATTAATAAATTGATATACAACATATGCTACAACCCTGTCGACTTATTACATTTTTTTAGCCTGTCCATTGAATGAAAGTAATCAAATCATGGGTGTTAATAGGAGCTGATGATGGAGCAAGGGGGAAGAGTATGGATCAAGACTTCATTTGCAGAACGCAGGATAGTTGGGTCATGTGATAAAGACAGAGGATGATGGTGAATGGAAGGTGTATGCTACTTGAGAGTTTAATGTTAAATGCAGAGGCGTAACTAGTGACCCTCAGGGCCCCGGTGCAGTAAAGCCCCCCCCCCCCCAAGAAAAAGATTAGATACTTAAAAAAAAAAAAAGACAAAAAAAAAATTCAAACCAAACCTCCTCTTCCATGTCCCCAGCTACCCCCCTGCTCGTCCCCAGCTTTCAGCTCCCTGACCCCACACTCTCCTCTCATATGTCCCCCTTCATAATCTCAGCTCCCTATAACTCCCTCTTCGTGTCAGCAGCACGCCTCTGACACCCAGGGAGTTGGAGCTTTTCATAGAACACAGGCAGTTCTACGGTTGGCAGCCGTTCTGTGTGATGAGGGGGCGGGGATAACCCGCTTCCCACTCATTTAGTGGCTGCGCCGATTTGATCATTCTTCACGCTGTGCCCGGAACAAGGTGAGGGGAGCAGCGTGAAGCATGCAGGGCCCAGGACAGGAGGCAGAGGTCCTGGTACTGATGTTAGCGGTTACCAGGATATTAAATATCCTGATAATCAGGGGTTACTACGGGCCCCGTCCTCCTGTCCTGGGACCCCTCTAAGTGGCAGAACTCCAGGGCCCGGTCGCGGCTGCGACCTCTGCGACCCTGGTAGTTCCGCCACTGGTTAAATGTGTTTCCAATAGTCCTCTAGTACTGCTGTCAGGGAACAGGGAGTGCTTTTATCTCTTTCTATTATACAGCTTCAGTTGTAGTTACAAACCAATTAGATATACCGCTACAAACACATGGATATGATATTTTTAGGTTTTCATGATAACTTATGCAATCAATAAAGCTTATATGAATCAGGTAAATACAGATCTGCAGTTTTTTAACACAGTAAAACAAAACAATGAAATGATTTAAAGTGCAATAATATCGCAGTAAGTACTATATAAATCCTACCCTTTATGCCCACCTCCCCAGGACTACCACGTGTTTGTGGGCTTCCCCACAGCCCCGCTGACTGAGGTGGAGATCGAGTCCCTTGTGCAGCATCAGAAGCTGCAATCATGGCAACCTATAGACAGAAGTAGATGATTAACCTCTCTGATATACAGTATTGGCGACAAACACATAAATTCTGCCACAATTGCTCAGAATACCTTGGCTTCCAAGGAGCTTAGGCGTTCACTTAGCTCTGGAATCTGACTGCAGTTCAGACATCCTATGTACAGTGGGGGAAAAAATGGATTCAATTAAAAATTTTATTTTATTAGTGAATACATCAAACACAGTTAATATCGATTTGTCTATTTTCTCTGAACAAAGGCCAGAAATTTTCTCAGGTGAAGAGAAGCAATAATTGATCATGCAGATTCCATGAAGAATTTTTGAACTTGAAGACATCTGTTGATCTAGAATAGGGCGAATGCCTCCCTATGCAATGGGGCCGGTGGACAGGTTTGAGTAGAAACTCTGGAACCTGTCCTCTTCTGGGACAAGAGCTATGACCCCTTGAGAAGGGAGCTCCTTGACAGCAGCATGATGTTCCACCTGCTTTTGTAGAGAAGTTGGCAAGCTTGAAGTGGGGGAGGCAGAAATTAAAACTCTAGTTTGTAGCATCTGGATACAACATTCTGGATCCAAGCATCTGAGATGTCCTGGGACCAGATGTCCAAGAAATCTGACAGACATCCCCCTACACTAGCAAATGGGGTGCCCCCTTATTGAGAGGTAGGCTTGTTTCCAGATTTGGCCAGTTTGGAGGTCTAGATCTTGCAGCAAAACTGCATTTCGTGTTTGGACCCTGAGGCCTGAGGGAAACAAAAGGAACTCTTCTTCGTCTCAAGAGCCAAATGATTACCTGCTGGAGTTTTTGCCTTCTTTTTCTGGGGTAAAAAATAACGTTCCCTCCCCCTATCCCTATGACTTCCTTGATATAGGTGGCTACGGAGTTGCCAAAAAAGCATTCACCTGCAAAGGGCATCTGCAGACCAACATTCGAGTCACATACAGGGCTATTCACAAAAGAGTGAAGAGTTTGGAGAAGGCAGGAGAAGGGAACAATCTAGGACAACATAGCGGAACTGGAAAGTGAGCTGAATCTGAGAATTTTTCCAAATCAGCTATGTTGTCCTAGATTGTTCAATTCTCCTGCCTTCTCCAAACTCTTCACCCTTTTGTGAATAGCCCTGATAATCTCGCTCATAAGTACTGAAAGGAGGCCCATCCTGTATATCTGGCAAAGTATATCCATTAACCCATTAAAACGATAGTGCAAGGCCATGGGCAAGACAGTCTGACAGGCTGACATGACTGCAAGAGTAGGTTGCATAGCAGGGCCTGCATGGGAGAATAAGGCCTTAAAAAGCCTTATAATCTTTTGTCCACAAGGTCCCTGAATACTAGAACATACTCAACAGTGTCCTTTAATGTTTTGTTAAGACAGGATGGTTGGATCCATAACTGGTGCAGCCCACTTTTTTAGGAACCATTCTTTAAAAGGATATTGTTGAGCAAAGTGCTTGGGAGGGGCGAAGGTCTTATCAGGATGAAGCCAGTCATCGTACAAAACAGGCTGTGAAAGTAAGTGCACAGGAAATGTTTTTGCAGGCCAAGGTATTTTTTAGGGAGCTCAGACTGGTGACTCATGGTCGGGCTGACGCAGGCTGGTCTAGGGCAAAGCACATGAACACGTCATCAATAAAGACAGTAATAATATCCTTAATTTTGGGAGAAATATCAGCAAATTAGATTTCCGCCTTAACCGAGTCCTCAGAACTGAACAAGGTGCTATCCTCTTCCTCCTCTTTAGGTAGTGCAGAACCAGTCAGAGGAAAATCAGAGATGGACTTTAAGTATGGTCTTTGAGGGGGTAGCACTTCAGATAGGGACACTGGTCTGGGCTATCAGAATCTGGACCCTTAGGAGAAATACTGCAGACCACTGAGCCATTAGCAGGACCCACTGGTCCACTCCCCTTGTGCCTATGATCTGCCATAGAGTGTGAGGAATGCCACCCCAGGGGTGCTCACAACAGTACACTGCAGAGCAGGAAGGGTTATGCCTTCTGTGACCAGGAAAGCCTAGATGATTTACACATCATCATTGCTCTTTGGTTTGCTTTATTAAAAAAAACCAATATACAGTATTGTGCAAAAGTTTAGGGCAGGTGTGAACAAATGCACGTAAAGAAAGAATGTTTATTACATTCTTACTTTACAGCTATGTTTTCATGCATAGTTGAGTCGCTTAGCCTTGTTTCCACATTGGAGGTATGGCTTTTTGGCCGCAAGGCCGCAGAAAAATGGCAGCAAGTGCTCTGGACTGATGAGTAAAAATTAGAAATATTTGGCTGTAGCAGGAGGTAGTTTGTTTGCAGGAATGGAGAGCGGTACAATAATGAGTGTCTGCAGGCAACAGTGAAGCATGGTGGAGGTTCCTTGCGAGTCTTGGGCTGCATTTCTGCCAATGGAGTTGGAGATTTGGTCAGCTTCAATGGTGTCCCCAATGCTAAGAAATACAAGCAGATACTTATCCATCATGCCATACCATCAGGGAGGTGTGTGATTGGCCCCAAATGTATTCTGCAGCAGGACAACGACCCCAAACATACAGCCAATATCATTAAGAACTGTCTTCAGTGTAAAGACGAACAAGGAGTCCTGGAAGTGAAGATTTGGCCCCCACAGAGCCATGATCTCAACATCATTGAGTCTGTCTGGGATTACATGAAGAGACAGAAGGATTGGAGTCAGCCCAGATCCACAGAAGATATGTGGTTACTTCTCCAAGATGTTTGGAAAAACCTCCCTGCCGAGTTCCTTCAAGAACTGTGTGCAAGTGGACCTAGAAGAATTGATGCTGTTTTGAAGGCAAAGGGTGGTCACACCAAATATTGATTTGGATTTCTCTTCTGTTCATTTACTTTTCATTTTGTTAATCGATTTAAAATAAACTATTGACACCTTTATTTCTGAAAACATTCTTACTTTACAGCATTTTTTCACACCTGCATAAAACTTTTGCACAGTACTGTATATATTTTAAGAACTGTTCAAGCTGTTATCATATGTATCATATACAGCTGGTACTTTCCCTTTAAGCAGCTTTCCTTCAATAACACTCTGCTGACTAATGTCTGTATAGGCACACACTATGTACAGTTGGATATGAAAATTACAAGCCATCGCTCCCGGCAGTGTAGGTACACATACATAAATAGAAATATCCTTTCTGCTCAATGTACACATAATTACAGAGCTGTGCGTATGTCAGTCGCTCCATCATATTCTAACAGATGGTTTTAATTCCACATCACTAGCTCTTGCACACTCGGCGTCTCTCATTCCCCTCCCTACTCTCCCGTGAAATCACTCCTCCCAAACTGACTTTCTATGCTTTTTGTCTCCGACATGTTGGTTTTCTATTACTGAACCCTTTCTCGTCGTTGACTCATTTCTAGTCTGTTCATTTTCACTAATCTGGTTTTCCTCAGTCCATTTATCTCTCTTTCACCACCATTCTTGTCTTTCTTCTACAGCATTTTGCACAGCCTTCAGATTCGACTCAGACAACCATTATTTTTACATGCTCACTACATCATTCTGTGTTTTCTCACCTTCACCCCATTCAGAATGTACCAATTTTCTCCTGCTCCATATTTCTCATTCACTCTTTGGCTTTTTTTTTTTTTATTATCTCCTTTCCTGGCCACATTACAGTGGTTTCCCTGGTAACAAGTGGCTTACATTGTGCAGCACTAGGGAGGTCCTCTCCTCACGCCAACCCCTAGAGGGTTATGGGTAACAGCCAAGACTGGAGACCTATTTTACACTGTGATGTCATCAAGCCCCTCTTGATCTTGGGCCCTATTGGTCAGTTATCTGAGACTATGTAAATGAGGGGCTAAAAGAACAACACAAACCTTCTACCTCGCATGAATTGTTGTCCTTTTCATATTAGCCAGCAGCAGGCAGTAACAGACAGCATTCAGGCAGTCATAAAAAGAAAGGGTCTTTGTAAACTAGAAAATTGCCATCTTGTTTATAGCTGCGACTGGGTTAAATTGGTTTGTCTGAAGCAGCTGATTCCCACACAGCTGCCCACTCTGTCCCAGCTGGCTTGGCAGAGTTTATGAACTCTGAATTTAACCCCATCTGACCTCAGGAAAAGTATGAAAAATAGGAAGGGTAAGGGCAGTACAGCTTTGTGTGCTCTACACCAAAACCACATGCAATGTTAGGTGGTAGGCGTGCTGGTGGGCAACCTCGCTAAAATACCCTGGTCATCAGGGCAGCCACCCACCAATATAGAAGCCGCCTTGAAATACAGTATCTTTTTATGTGTCAGTGTTCAGTTTGTTTTTGTTTATAAAAGCAAATCAAGTAACACCTAAAGTAGGCAAATGCCACATACTGTGCCTTTTTGTGTTAATTGCCAGAGGAAGACATATAAGAGCTCATGCACCTGGGCGTATGATTTTACATAGGATCTTACTGGCAGAAATATGCTACATTAAATCTTGTCCATAGACTGTACTCATGCAACATTATTGCTAACATTTACATATGTATAGCTTATAGCGTAAATGTGCCCTATTGGTTGGTAGCAGTCCTGCTGCATAGCGTCCTTTCTTGCTAGGATGCAGGCAGCTCTTGCCGACTAGCATCCTTCATTGCTAGGATGCAGATGGCTCTTGCTGCCTATCGTCCTTTGTTGCTAGGATGAAGATGGCTCTTGCCACGTAACATCTTGCGTTGCTTGGATGCTGGTGGCTCTTGCCACCTAAACATCCTTCATTGCTAGGATGCAGGCTGCCTAGCCTCCTATGCTGATAGGACGCAGACGGCTGTTGCCGCTTGGCATCCGCTGCTAGGATGCAGATGGCTCTCGCCACCCATCATTTTATGTTGCTAAGTTGCAGGTGGCTTTTGCCACCTATAATCTTATGTTGCTAGAATGCAGGGGGCTCTTGCTGCCTAATATCCTTCGTTGATAGAATGCAGGCGGCTCTTTCCGCCTAGCGTCCTTTGCCGCTAGGATGTAGGTGGCTTTTGCCGCTTATCATCTTATGTTGCTAGGAGGCAGGTTGCTCTTGCAACCTAGCATCCATCATTGCTACGATACAGATGGCTCCTGCTGCTTAATGTCCTTTGTTGCTAAGATGCAGGTGGCTCTTGCTGCCTATCATCTTATGTTGCTAGGATGCAGGTTGCTCTCGCAGCCTAGCATCCATTATTGTTAGGATACAGGTGGCTCTTGCTGTTTAATGTCCTCTGCTGCTAGGATGCAGGTGGCTTTTTCTGCCTATCATCTTATGTTGCTAGGATGCAGGTTGCTCTTGCAGCCTAGCATTCATCATTGAAAACTCATGTTTACTGATCTTAATGCTGCTGTGTGCATTGGCCCATAGAAATGCAGGGTTTTATTATGGCCTTGTTCATGAGCTCTAATGTTTTTTTGCCTCAAAAAGCTGTTTCTGCAGGTGCATGCTCCTGTCATGGCGTAATACTGCTCTATGTAAGATCCTGAAATAGGATATGATGCTAACCCATATGTAATACAGTAATACATGGGCTCACTTAAGCTGGAATAGGGAGAAACTCTCTTCAACAACTTTTTATTTTATTATTAACAAATTATCAACATTGACACAACCTAAGTAACAGACTGTAATAAGGCTCAAAGGGGCCACCTAAAAGTGAAGACAATGTTCATGCCACAAAGTAAATCTGTGCTCACTTTGAATACCTAATCATGTGCAGAAGGATTTAAAGGGTTGGTTGATTATAAACCACCTTCAATAGAGATATCACTTTTGGGTGGACTGTTCTTTTTTTTTTTAAAAAAAAGGATTTTTCTACATAACAACTGACAAATGTCAACTGTTGCTTATTCTATGGTAAAAACAGAAGAATATGTTTCTTAAGGATGCACTGCTAACATCTGTGGTCTGATTTAGGAAGAAGACTTTGGATGGTTCAAGGATATGGGCACCGCCATCATTATCTTTGAAGAATCTGCTATGTATGGCCAATTAATGTTTTTACAGTTGTAGGACTTATCTTTAGTAAAAGTTTAGTCTATACAAATGCTTTTTCTCTAGAATAAATAGACATAAGTGCACTGCATGAACTAGAAAATGTAGCAGGTAATTATTCCACTGAACGTCTTTTGTTTCTACAACTTCCTTTCTGTCGAAGGGAAATTTAATCTTCTTTGCGCTGTACTGTTTTCTTCTCTAGCTCAATGTCCTCTCTCTTGTATCACCAAGAACAGTAGCACAGTTATAGAGCTGTTCAATGGGTAAGGGTAAAATAAATCACTTGTCTGTGTAACACTTTGCTGTATGCCACATTCACTCTTCCAAGCTGCACAATATTTATGCTGGAGATTCTTCTCATCACACACACGGAGCCGCTTTGGCCACAGCCCACAATATGGTAGCTGCAAATAAATCTGGGCTCTATGTGATTTCAGCCACCATATAACATGCTTGTTCAATTCATAGACTGTCAAATACAACCCAAGGCTAATGTGCATGGAATTCGAGGGACGAGGGAGCGGTATTCATTAAGAAAATACATCCTCTGAATGGCCTCTGTTCTGAGCAAGTGAAACAATGTGTTTTAACAGCACAGGGAAGTTGTTCAGCACATCGGCTGTTCCTATACCTAGAAGATGCTTTAATACCCTGTAGTATCTACGGGTACTGTAGTGTATTACATAGTCCTCATGGCCCTGCCATGTATCATATATGCTGTATATACTTACATTTTGCCAAGCTAAACCAATGTAAGTATATATACATTTTTAAAGCTGGAGTTCAGCTTGAATTACTTCCAGGTCACTGACCTGGATCAAGTACACAGGTTAGAATTCAAGAGAATTCCATGTTTACATAATGTTTACAGATCATTCTCTCCCCAAATATAAAAACCAGACAACTAGTATTTTCAGAAATATAGGTCAGCAAAGGCTGCCCCTATATTCTCTCAGTACAGGTTTTCTCTACCGTGTTTCCCCGAAAATAAGACACTGTCTTATATTTTTTCCCCCCCCAAAAAAACACACTAGGTCTTATTTTCGGGGATGTCTTATTTTTTTTTTTTTTTAATGTGCAACAAAATGAAACAATACTGTCACACACAGTACCTGCAGGCTGCAGCTGTCCTGGAGCTCTCCTCTCTGATGCCGTCCAGGAAGCCACCTCATCGCACGGACCTCCAGTCAGAAGATCCCTCACCTCACCTGACATCACTCCGACCCCACTGGCCGCTGCCTGCTGGGAAATGTAGTTTTCTGCCTGGCGGCAGCTCTATGGACGAAACCCCAGGCAGGTGTGCGGGCGGGCGGGAGCTGCGGCGATCAGTCCCCGTCGTGTATAGATGAAATGTTTTGCGGTCCTTGACATGTTTTATACATGCAGACTTCAGGAGACCAGCTGCTCATATAATTGAACGTTACTCTCGGACCCCTGGCTGGCTGCTTGGATGCAGCAATACATGTGAGCCCCCGCTCACCAAACTAGGTCTTATTTTCGGGGTAGGTCTTATATTACAGGAATCACTAAAGATAGTGCTAGGTCTTACTTTGGGGTAGGTCTTATTTTCGGGGAAACACGGTATCTGCATGTCATGTTATGTCCCCCCAAATTCCAACATTAAATGTCATTGTGCTGTGTGACTGGCAATATAATTTTTACCAATAAGAGTTGCCTCGTAAGGCTTTTATGAGGTTTGTGCCAGTCCCACCCCAAACTATAATTCAATGTTGTGGTAAGAGCCTAGCCATGCTAGGTGGTGGTACACCAAACACACACCCTGGTGATGCTGACATGTGCAATCCCCATGATAAAAGCCTGCAGGGACAAAAATGGCCTGCAAAGAGTGGAGCCAGGCACATATTATAGCATGGTACTGCCCACATGGCATAGGCTGGGCAGTGCTACTTGGGTCTACTGCTGCTCTCTTCATGGAAAAAAAGAATTACAATATGATAATAATAATAATAATAAGTATTCATAATAATAATAATATTATTTAATAATATAAAAAATATTATATATAAATATACATATATATATTTAATATAATGAACATTAGAAAAATTATGTACACATAATTAACAGCCAAACACACAGAAGGGAATTTATCAAAACTGGAGCAGCTGTGCATGGAAACCAATCAGCATCTCTCTTACATTTTCAAATCCTAACTGAACAAACTGAAGATAGAAGCTGATTGGTTGCCATGCACAACTGCTCCGGTTTTTGTGTGCTCCAGTTTTGATAAATTCCCCCCACAGTATATTACAATATTACCCCCACCTTGTAGAGGTTATAGACAAAAATGTTATAAAATGTAAAGTGTTTTACCCTGACTATCATTAATTATATGTCAGAAAGTTTTCCTTGATGGGCTTTGGGCTTGTGTCAGTGGCATAAATTTGCCATCAGTATAAGATGCTTCTGACATCATTCAGAATTTATTCATAGGTGCATCTGAGCAGAAGGTTGACCACCGCCTGACCAGCATTTGACCTGCTTCAAGTGGGTTTTGAATTCAATTAACTTGTATAGGGATGCAAACCTGTTTAAAGCAAACAAATGCCCTTCGACAGAGTTCCTTAGCCAGGAACTGTCTATACATTCTGTTTGGTAGTGGAGGTAAAAGCATTCTTGGTGGAGCTGAAATAACTACACACATAGCAGATGTGGTTTATACATTTTTGAGCAAAGTCAAACCATCAGGCGATATTTTCCATATTAAAGGGCTGTTCTTGGAAAGCAATTAAACAAGGCATATAATAGGTTACAATGAGCACAAGCTCAGCAAATAACAGTTATATTATATCAGGCAAATTTATAATTAACTACATCGGCCAAATGGATTTTCTTACAAATAGTTGGAAGGACGCTGGTTACCTGAGAAGGTGGCTCCATCTCTAGGGGGCATTTTACGAACTGTGGTAGTGATCCGTGGAGCTTCCTGCACCTCTGATAGGGATCCAGGGCCTGTAACACAGAAGGCAGGATAACCACAATCTTATTATTAATCTTGTATTTGTATACATGTATTTCAAAAAGTTATAAATGCTGCTCTGTTCAACAGTTTGTATGACTTGTCTTAAAAGGCACACTTACCAGTTCATTTCTACTGGTTATGTTTCAGGCCACCAGAGGGTAATCAAACTTATGTTACTATATACCGTATATGACACTTTAAAGATGGTGGGATATCTCAAAACGTGGTTAAACAAAACGTGTACCAGTGGGAAACTACAGCTAAAGTTGTTTTCACATGAAAGGTGTTAGAAATCACACTTGTTCTTGTGATCTAAGGATCCATATACTGCCACAGATTGATGTCAATCTGGGAATATGTAAAGGAAGGTAATGAATAAGCACTAGCAAGTA